ACGGAACTTTTAATGGCCATGCCTCAGTTCTGCGAGCATTTTTTAAACATTCAGAATTCAATTACCTTTGCGCGGCGGGCACAATAATATCTGTCGATGAAAGACTAATAAGTGAATTGTACACTGACCATATCTATATGCAGGTGATTTGCGTCAGATCATAGACGAACGATGATAGCTGTAATTTCGATCAAAATTTCGACGTATTTGTTAAAGGTTTTCATTTTATTAAAATCATGCTATCTACTTTGGAATTTAATGACTAGTCGAGATTAGCCATTGTCTGCGTTGTCGGTATTACGGCGAGATATAATTTATAATCCTTCACGAACGTCAGAAAAATCACACGAACTCGGACATGTTGCGGAACTGGATGAGAAAAATTTCTGAAGCCGATGCAGCATGTGCAGCAAGTGAAGGCAGCAATCCAGTGACGGGCGCCGTTACTTTTTCAAATAGGCCAAATCACTCTCCTCTTCGACTGCTACAAGTCGATTTTCGAAAACGAAACTTTGACAACAGCTATATATGTAAAAGAGGATGACAAAAACGGCGTAAAACTGGATCCATCCCCACTTTAACACTTCGTAAAAGCAGCTGTGGTGCAAAAACGTATCTTCTAAGTAATTTATTTTTATGTGCAGGGTGAAGTCAGCCGTTGTGTTCGCTGGCTTTTCGGACCATTTTGAGAAATGCGGGACAAACGTTATTGACAGATTTCTGTTGTTAGACCGAGACAGTAAGTCAAGAAGTCTCTCGTAACTGATGCCTTGTTTTCCAAAATCGATAACTTGACCGTACGTGTCGCCGGGTGATCTCAGTTTGACGGGGGTCTTCTGTACGGCCTTCATTTCACCCGTAACTCGGTACTCTAAGCCCGGATGTGAGCTTTCATGCTGTACGTGCGCAATCGCTTGCAGCTCGACTGCCGACCGCTCAGCAATACTGTAATCGAACGCGAACAGCGCGTTTATGCCATAAACCACCTCACCTTCGGCCAGCGGGAATACGGCGATCAATCGAAAGCTGTCCGGCCTGCCGTCGTTATTGTAGTCCTTGACACAGAAACGGATTAGCGACGGTTTCAGATGATCGCGCTCCCTCTGGTTCGTTGCCAGGGAGCTGCTCCATAGCCAGTATCTTCCGGAAGTCGCCGAGGTGAGAACAATCAAAAATTGCTGTTGGTACAAAACCGTCGGCTGCTCTGTCACTTGAACGGTCTCGAACCGAGACTCGTGAGTGCGGAAAGCGAACAGTAGTGACAGCAGCAGCGTCAGTAGAAATAAAACAACATGCAACAAAGCAGCCGTCGAACAAAGTCGAGCTCTGAATCGCCTACTCAACGCTATTCGATGTACTTCATGCATTTTCAAGATTTCCGTGAACTTGCGTGACGTTCTGCAGTTGACGCTG